ACCTCTTCCTCATCGTCAGAGTCTGCCTCAGCATATTCCTGTTCTGAGGATAATTCAGATGACAGCAGGCTACACACCGGGAGAGAAGAGCTGCTAAAAAGAAATACAGTCCGGAATCTCCGTTGGAAAGCGTGCGACCGATCCCCAAGAAGATTGATTTCGCCGGTGCTCCTTAAGGAGGCTCCAGAAATAGCTCGCATGGAGTACAAAAAACTGCGCACACGAGTCAACATCGACCAAAAGCTTCTGGATCATTTCAACAAGTGCGCGGCGGGCGTCTACGTAAGCACAGAAGACAGGCTCAGTTTCTATGATCGCCTTCCGCTGGTGGCGTCCGGTCTGGCAGCTCCACCCGTCCTAGATGAAGTCTTCCTAGGAAATCCTTCAGGTATGAAGATAAAGCTCCATTCTAGTCGCTTCAGAAATCGCCTTCCCAGATCTGTTCGTTCAGAATTCAAGTCGACGAGATGTCGCTGAGGGCCGATGCAGAAGTGCTGCTCAATGCTCCTCAATCTCATGGCGATCGCGCGTAGCGAAAATCGCGCGGGTCGTTCTCAGCGTTCAGATCTCTACATAGAGCAAGCCATGGAAGTTCTATCATTCGGAGTTGAGGCAAATGTAACCAGAAGAAAAGAAAGATTTCTGAGGTGGGTTCTACCACGTCTTACATCTCAATTTAAGTCATTAACTAAACCAAGTCATTACAGATCGTTCGGAGTTGAGTGGTTCACAATTTCCATCGTTTCCTTGGTGGAAGAACCAGTTCAGCGGACCTTCCTCGGAATGAAGTCTGCCCTGCGCTCATGGGACCGAAACTCACAACAGAGATCGTGGAAAAGTCTCAGTGCAGGAAGCTCACCGAAGCGCTGGTGAAGGAGGCAAAAGCCAAAAGAACGCATGGCAGTGGCAAGAAAATGAAGACATACACGCCGAAAAGGGAAAGGTCAGTTTATGAACATATCATTAGGGCCGAGAAACAGCTCGCTCCCTACGAGGAGTCCGAAGCCGGGCAGGTAGGCTAGCTCTATTTCAAAAAAACTGGGCTTGTCTTACCAAAGACCCCTGGGTGCGTGAAGCAGTGCAGGGCTATAGGTTAGAGTTCTCTGACCAAATCCCCCAATGCTCCTTGCAATCCTGCACAACGGACTCCGAATCTGACCTTCTCAGCGTCGCAGTTCAGGAAATGCTAGACAAAAATGCCATTGAAGAGATTCCCTGGTCCTCAGAAGTTTGGACCTCAAAAATTTTCGTCATTCCAAAAAAAGACGGTGGAAACAGAACCATAATAAACTTGAAGCCACTCAATAGGTATATCAAAACCCACCATTTCAAACTTGGAGTCCTATTGGAATGATAAAAGTTCTCTTAGAGAAACACGATTACATGGCGAAAATCGACTTGAAAGACGCATATTTTTCGGTCCCTATCCATGGCGATTTTCGGAAATACTTAGCCTTCCAACATGGCGGGAAGCTCTTTCAGTTCAAAGCGCTACCCTTCGGGCCTATCCTCAGCACCTTACGTTTTCACCAGGCTAATGAGGGCTATTGCTTCTGAACTCAGAAGTCGGGGGATCAGACTGATTGTTTACCTAGGTGACTGGATTGATAATAGACAAAAACAAAAAATCTCTTTCACTGAAGATCAAACAAACTACAATGTTACTCAAAATCTAGGTTTAACCATAAACGAGAAAAAATCACAGCTTGAACCTTCACAAGTAGATGGAATTTCTCGGGATGACTATCAATTCATCAAGTTTTGAACTTTCCGTCCCAGAGCAGAAGATAGCAACTATTTGCCAAACTGCCAAAAAATGCAGAAACGCAGAAAGTCACTTTTCGCGAAGTCGCTAGCTTTATTGGCAAGTCAACTCGGTAAGCATGGCAGCAAGTATTGCTGTACTATTTCTCCGACCTCTTCAGATGTGGTTAGGCAGTTTCTCTCTGAAGAATGCGACTGACTATAAGACCTTAGGCACTCTTCCAGAAAGCTGCGTTGACGTGGTTATCACAAAATTCCAGTAAAATAGCTTGTGAGCCCATCCTTCATGAGGATGAGTCACGCATCAAATACGGGTTGGGGTGCAATATGCGCATACGGCAGTACTAGTGGGAAGTGGAAACCCTCAGAACTAGAGTGGCACATAAACGAAAGAGAGTTAGCAGCTTGTATACTGGGCTTACGCTGTTTCGCAGACAAGCTTTGCCATTGCACCATTCGCTTGCAGCTGGACAACACAACACTGGTCTGGTATATATACCATTTTCACTTTAAATTCACCCTTTTTCAAACCAAATTCACCCTTTTTCAAACCAAATTCACCCTTTTCAAACCAAATTCACCCACCTTCCAAATCGAATTCACCACACTTATTAGGCTGCGCAAGTCATCTACCAAATCACGCCGGACACTACTGCGGGCCCCGCCCCTCGGCCACGCCCACTTGCTTTTTGCGGAATTTCGATATTTTTCAAAATTTTTGCATTTTTGGACTGCTGCGTGAAGCCCCGCCCAATGAGGCTCCGCCCACTTTGGAGAAGCTCCGCCCACTTTTCAAAAATGGTGTAAATAGGTCTTCGGCTTTCATGCTAGGGTCTCGTTCGTCACTCGGAACAAGAAAATCAGGCAAAGTTTGTTCCGAGTGACGAACGAGACCCTAGCATGAAAGCCAAGACCCTATACTGCCGATTTACACCATTTTTGAAAAGTGGGCGGGGCCAAAGTGGGCGGAGCCTCCAACAGTGGGCGGGGCTTCACGCAGCAGTCCAAAAATGCAAAAATTTTGAAAAAATATCGAAATTCCGCAAAAAGCGAGTGGGCGTGGCCGAGGGGGCGGGGCCCGCAGTAGTGTCCGGCGTGATTTGGTAGATGACTTGCGCAGCCTAATAAGTGCGGTGAATTCGATTTGGAAGGTGGGTGAATTTGGTTTGAAAACGGGTGAATTTGAGTGAAAATGGTATAAATAAGAAAGGAGGAACTAGAAGTGCGCGCTTGAACAAGCTAACGCGATTATTGTGGCTATGGGCCTTGAAACGTGATCTGAAACTGTTGGCCTCATACAAGCCAGGTGTACAAAACATTGAAGCAGACCTTCTTTCGAGGAGATCGAATGACTCTTCCGACTATTCTCTTGATGGGAAAACAACCATGTTACTGTTTGCAAAGTGGGGCGTACCTAAGATAGACCTTTTCGCCTCCCGGTGAAACAATAAATGTCAAAATACTACTCCTTTCTTCCAGATCCGGGCGCAGCGGGCGTAGACGCTTTCGCTCAAGTCTGGTCGGAGACCTACGGCTACGCCTTTCCGCCATTCAATCTAGTAGGGAAGACAATCAGAAAAGCCCTGAAAGAGAAGGCACGCTTGATTCTGGTGTGCCCCATGTGGAAAAATCAAAGTTGGTGGCCACTAGTAATGGAGCACGGCAAAGAAATCACGCCATTGATATCAGACCGGAACCTTCTGACGGACTCCAGCGGGTCTCCTCATCCATGCCTCAAATCTCCCTCCTTTCGTATGATAGCATGCATCATTTAGGTGAATTCTGGAGAGGTGGGAGGGCTGAAAGAGGTGTCGTGCAATCCATTATGTCAAATTGGTCACGCGCTACAATAAAACAGTACAATAGCGCCTTGAAAAAGTGGGCAGCCTTCTGTAAAAATACTCGGTATAGACAGGTTGCACCCTAGGGTCGAAGATATTTCTCAACTTTCTGGGTCAGCTGTTCGAATCAGGCGCAAGCTTCTCATCGATCAGCACTCATAAGTCGGCCATAATCGTCTACCTTTCGGCGATCAATGGGGAGTTCTGTAGGAAGGACATGATCCTTGTAAATAGGTGCATGAAAGGGTTCTTTCGACAGCGTCCCCCACGACCCAGATATGCTGATATATGGGATGTATCAGCAGTACTGAAATATCTAAGATCTCTAGGGCCTAATGCCACTTCTGGATCTCGAACACTTAACTCAAAAACGGTAATGCTGTTAGCCCCAGTGGTTCCCAAAAGAGTCTTCGAATTAGCAGCATTATCGTTAGATTCAGTATTGCTTGGGAGAGGATTGTTGGGCCTTCTCCTTAGATTTCATGAACAAAAATAGAGGATTCGGCAAAGGCACACACAGCGGTCGTGCAAGCCTATAAAGACGATATCCTCCTATGTCCTCTTGGTGACGATTAAGGATTATATAAATCGCACTATCTTATATCGTAACCAAGTTCGGACATTATTCATGATCGTTAACCGTCCTCGCGGAAGTGTTTTCCAGCACTTCTCGGAGCCACCACGATAGCTCGGTGGCTCCGAGAAGTGCTGAAAAACTCAGGCATAGATGACCGATTTAAAGCGCACTCAACTAGGGCAGCAAGCACAACCTTTTCAAAAAGGCAGGGTCTCTCTTCAAAGGCAATTATGGAAGCAGCGAATTGGGCACCAAATGGTACCACCTTTGAGAAGTTTTACTACAGAGGCCCACTGGAACAATCGTTCCAGGACTCTTTGCTCTCTTCGAACAGGTGTGTTGAAAAAGCATCTAATTGATATGAGCAGTGTAATATAATGTGATATTTTCCTAGACAACTTGTTGTCGAAGTAAAATATTTATTATATTTAACTGCGAATATCAATTACACTCCCACCCTGTTAGTTAGCTTCCCTTCCCAACCTTCTCCTTGTCAAAGATATCACCTCGATATTCAGGAAATCCAAGAGGAGCACAGAAAGGAGAGATGATATGGAAGAGAAACGCAAGAAAGAGAAAGAACAGAAACGAAGGAAATCACATCTCTCGAAGAAATGAAGAAGAAGAAGGTGATTCATTGAAGAATATGATAAGAATAAGAAGATGCTATCATAACCTGCTATCTGTTGTTGTTAATATCCAATGAAAGCTCGCACTCTCGGTTGCGGGCTCAGTGTTCTTCCGCCCTCAACAAGGCGAATGGAGTGGATGGGCCCGCAAATGGAAGTTTGCGCAATCGCCCAGGACGGATCGATTCAGTTTCTGATCTGAAGATCATACCATCTTGAGGGGAGCTCAGCGCCGGCGCGCCAAAGCATCGTAATTGATATTCGCAGTTGAATATAATAAATATTTGACTTCGACAGCTAAGATTCGCGAAGTGCTCCTCGAAATAGACTGCGCGTTGTCCTAAAAGGTTACAAGTTCTTTGCAGACACTGCTCAAGCAGACTTCCTAAAACAAAATGCTGTTGTAACCCAGTCACCCTTTTTCGTCCAGTATTGATCATGTAACCTTCTTCTCTCGTTCTAAAGAGTGTTGATGATGAAGTCTCACTTACTCTGCCTCATCGTGCCCTAAACCCCTCCCCAAATCACATCGACCGCTAACCAGGGGTATTAATACCCGAGGTGCTTTTTTGGCTTGACTCCTGGTTCTTGCCCTTCACTCTTGTTCCATTGCTCGTCTATCAATTCACTGTGCAGTACTAGGACCGTATGTATTGTGCTGTAGCTATTCTGTTCGCTGTTTTTATCCACTACTACCTCGATTCCTCTGCGAAGCTCGAATTGTCGCCTATTTATTTGTACTTTATTTTGGTCCATTTATTTTGATCCATTTTATTTTGTTGCAATTTTCGCCTTTGCTTCAGATAAACCTTCTTTCTTATAGTTCACTTGGTGCCAACCTTCGTCCAATGCATAGTTAGTTAATTGGATTCCCGGGACATCCGATTGAAGCCACTGCTGTGGAAGGAGCACTCCGTCAGCAATTGTGTGCATCATGCTCGCCAGTCCGCTTTTCCTACAATCGTGACAGTTACAGACTCCTTTTCATGCACCTCAGCTCTGATAAACAACGTCTTCTGAGACGAAATACCTTCATCAGCGCGTCGTCGGAGAGACACCTCGAAATATCTACGACCAAGTATTGCCAAATTATTCGAAGTACTTGCAAGCAGAGGTGGACGATTCGATGTGCGTGTCGGTCTTCCATGTGTGAGCCCTTTACCCACTCCTTTACCCACATGTGTGCTTCAGAAGTCACTTTTCCAGACAATGGTTCCGCTACTTGAGGGCGATCAATTATCACTCACTTTTTCGCGGTATAGCAGAACACCTCGCCACAATCAATTTTTCAGGTGTAGTACCCAAGGGGTACAACACCTATTGCAGTACATGCTGGTGGCACATGAATGAACAGTGATAAATACTATCATTTCGCGCTAGCATGTCTTTCATTCTAGATAATCCTTTCTTAAACGTGAACTACTTTGCAAACTGAGCCTTATATTCATAGGCTGAAATTCTCGCTCACGATAATGCTCCTCCACACAGGCTTGTTACAGGAATGCCTCAGAAGTGAGACGTAAGGACTTGGGACTGGATGCCGGAATCGCCAGACATGAACCCAATCAAATTTTTGTGAAGAAATATAAAAACTCTTATCAAGCTGGAACTCTACATTCAATTCGAACTGGTTTCAGCCCTGATGGATTTCGCGGCGAAGGAACTAATGGTTGTTGAGTTCGCAATGCCGTGTTGAACTTCTGGGAAACACCACCAACTTCAGTTTGCCCAAATTACACCGCTAGAAGTTCGAAGAAAACTCTGTCGAACTGTAAAGCAGAATGCAGGGAATATTTGTGAAAGATGGCAAATTTGATTACTTTTGTTCTTGTTCATTGTTAGTATGAGCATTCCTACCTGTTCTGCGCCGCAGAACGGCTCCAGAGCACACTAAAAACCCAAAGAAATATTTCCTGTTCACGCTAAGAGCGTGTATCTGGGCTAATGATTGTAGTGGTGTTAGTGTCAGGTACGATGTTATATGCACGTCCACTGTAGACGTGCAATCTACTAGGTTTCACTTTAGGTCACGGTACCCTTGCCGTGATACTGAAGTTTGATTCTTGTCTCTGCTTCTCTCCCTACAACGCCACTGCAGCGAATAGTTTCCGGCGGCGAGAACAGCACGCCTCC